AGCAGTGGATTGCAACAAAAAGTGCGACAAAAAAACTGTTTTAGATTGAAACATAGCTGTTATTGCTAAAGCTTGCCCTTTATATTTCGATCATTGCGTCATCGCTGAAATTGAAACTTTTTTCACTTTGCTTTTGTACCAATTGACCAAGCTGTGATGACAGATCACTTTCTTTCCCAACTCATTCATTCACTGACTGATTTCCATTCTTTTACTTCCTTTTGTTCCCATCAGATCTGCTGCTATGATAAGCAACAATGGGAGCGCTCCATCGAGGACCAGATACTGTACCGGGCGGAAAATATTTGCTCCAGCGGAGGAGGTGGAGGAGGTGGTCAGAGTCAGAATCAGAGTCCCAGTGGCAGTTATGACCGGCACCTGCACACCTTTACCTTCGCCTCAAACAGCAACAACCCCGGCACCACCGCAAACAAGGTGCCCTCGATGACCAACGACCTCATCGACCTGGACCTGATCTCCGGCTCCGCCTACACCGTGAAGGCCAAGTCGCAGCAGAGCTGGCTCTCCGCCCTCGGACACGCCCTCCTCCGCGTCCTCCTCTTTCCCCTGTACATTCGCTGGTGGGCGGACCGGACCGGCGCTCGGCTCACTCTCCTCCTCCTGCTGCTCTACCTGCTGGAGGTGGTCGCCCTAAGGCTCTACTACCACCGGGGCATTACACTGCTCAGCGTGCAGAACTTTGGCGGCAATGAGACGCTCTCTTCGGCGACTGCTTCTGCAAAGGTGTCGGCAGGAGGTGGTGGTGGTGGAGGTACTGGAGGTACTTCTTCCTCCTCCTCCTCAGACTACTCCGAGGTGTCGCCGACCGAGGTGCTGATGCCCATTGCCATGGCCTTTGTCCTGGGCGTCATTCACACGCAGATTGTCGGCACGAAGACTGGTGGTGCAAGTAGTAGTAATAATAGCAACAGCAGCAACTCTACTTCTTCCTCGTCCTCTTCCTCAGCAGCAGCTTCCAGCACTACCTTAACAACTGCCACTTCCGGTCACTTGGTTAATTGCACTGCTGCTGCAGCTGCACTTGATAGTGCCAGTACTGCAGCAACAGTAGCAGCAGGAGAAGGTCGAAAGGGAAGCAGTTCAATTAGCGTTTCCGCAGCCGCCGCAGCAGCTGTGGTGGTGCAATCGTGCTGTAGTGCTCAAAAGCAGTGTGTTGTCTCTGCCTCTGCTCACACCGACCATTCCAGCACCTCACAGCTCAACTCTTCCTGCAACTCCTCCTCCTCCAGCTCCAGCTCAGGCAGTTCCACGCCCTCCTCTTCGACCACCGCCTCGCCGCCCTCTTCGCTTGAAAGACACAGCTCTCGAAAACAGAAGCGGCAGCAGAAGTTGTTGGCAAAGAAGGCCCTCGTAGAGGGGCTAAGCCTTCGGGCACAAAGCCTGGCTCCTCCGAAGATTACCATTCAGAAGGAGCAGCGAACATCGGTTCAGCAGCAGCAGCAGCAGCACTTTGACGGTGGTGAAGCGGATGATGATGAGGACGACGATGATGAGTACGATGATGGCGTCGCCGAGGACAGTGTCAGCCTTGAAGAGGAGGAAGAAGAGGAGGAGGAGGAGGAGGAGGAGTTTATCAGCAGCTATCACCACCAGCACCATCACCACCACTCTTCGGATAACCTGTGGGCGGGAGAGGGTGATGACCACTCCTCGGTAGGAGGAACTCCCCGGCGGTACTCGGAGTCCGCTTCACGACGACCCGGCAGAAGTGGAGTTCGCCTGGTGCTTCGACCGCCGCAAACTCTGACCGCCGCCACGCCTGCTCCTTCCTCCTCCTCCTCGTTTACCCGTCGATACTCGGAGAGTCATTTGGCGGGCAGTGGTGGTGATGATGATGATGATGATAATGTTATCAAGAACTCCAAAGCTCAACACTCTTCGAGTGCACTGGCCAGTCCACTTAGAAATGGAAATGGTCACCACCTGGTCAACAAGCATCGGCTTTTAAACCCTTCAGGAAGCAATGGTGGTGGTGGTGGTGGTAGTGTTCGCCATCGATTTTCATCTTCCTCTTATGATCATCACCACCACCAGCGACCTCGTCGACCGCAGTCGGTCTCAAATGGAGGAAATAACTTATCAGCGAAGTCTTATAAGCGAAATGGAAGTGCTCGACACTATAATGGCGTTTCGGTGGCCTCGACCAGTCTCTATGATTCAGAGGGCACTGTGTCGCCGGTGACACCTATTGCCTCGCTACCGGTGAGTTTCCTAAAAAACTTCCTAAAAATTAAATTAAAACTTCTTTTTCTCTAGGGCGACGACTGGCCGATGATCAACTCGGATGCCAACACATCGGGAGAATCGGATGACTATGGAAATGATGGCAACAACAATCACAGCAGCAGAAATAACAACAATGTCCACCAGTTAGCTACTGCTTCAGTTGTTCAGCAGCAACAAATCGAGCCACTGAATCGTCAAAAGTCAAAGACCACAACCAGCGACTATGAGAGCAATGGAGGAGGTGGTGGTGGTGGTCGAAGCCGTCGAGATCGAGATCGAGGAAATCGTTGTTGCAAGTCCTGCTGCTGCAAACGAGGAGGTGGGGGTGAGTCTTCAGGCGAGGGAGTTCGAGATCTTCAGCAGCAGCAGCATCGAGGCTCAAAATCGGGCTCAGTGGAAAAGGGAAGCATCTCAAATGGAAAAAACTTTACAGCGGAAGCTTCAGCTAACCATCAGGAAAAAGGTTCACAACCTCCACCGCCTTTAAATCCTCCCCAGCCACCTCCACCACCTCCGCCCTTGAACTCCACCGAGCTGAAGGTGAGCTGCTCGGTGTGGCAGTGCAACCTCTGGCAGAAGGTGGACCTCTCGGTGATGGACCTCAGCTCGGCGATCATCCGCAAGGTGGAGGGCGTGGAGCACTCCAGTGAGTACATCTACCTGAGCGTCATCTTCTCGGTGGCCATTGCCCTCCTGCCGAGCATCTTTCGCATGCAGTACCTCCCGGTGCCCTCAACATCGCTGGTGGGCGGGATTCTGGCTCCAATGGCTTCGGGATCAACTTCCGGTTCATCATCTTCACCTCTGCCGAACAGCTCCGATGGAGGAGGGGGTGACCAGCTGAACGACTACCTCATTCAGGTGGTCGACCTCTACGGCCTGCTGCACCTCTTCCTCGACGCCAGTCTCTTCTATGGGGGCGGCAATTTGCGGCTTCGGGTAGTGATTGCCATTGCCATGCTCCAGCGGTTTGTCCTCTCGCTGCTCTACTTTTTCCTCCTCTGTGTGGCGGAGCGGACGTTTAAGCAGGTGAGGAGTTGTTTTTTTTTAGTTTAATTTTGACTCTAATTTTCCCCTTTTTCTAGCGTTTTCTCTACTCCAAGTACTTTTCGCAAATTACCCGTCGGGACCGGGCCAAGCGCTCTCAGGTGCCCTTTTTCCGTCTGCATAAGGTCAGCTACCTGAAGGTGTGGCTCTCCGTACGGTCTNTCTACTCCAAGTACTTTTCGCAAATTACCCGTCGAGACCGGGCCAAGCGCTCTCAGGTGCCCTTCTTTCGCCTGCACAAGGTCAGCTACCTGAAGGTGTGGCTCTCGGTACGGTCCNTTTCCGCAGACACGGCCCCCTCCGCTCGGTGGACACCATCTGCTCCACCTCCTTCATCCTCGCCGTCTGCCTGCTGACCTGCATCTGTCTTCAGCTACTCAAGGACGACGGCCCCAACGAGGCGCCCTTCACCAGCCGCCTCATCTGCTGGGAGATGATCTTCTGGTCGCTGGCCATCGGCATCTACATCATGCGACTGATGATACTGGGCAGCCGCATCAACCAGAAGTACCGCAGCAACCTCTCGGTGCTCATCACCGAGCAGATCAACCTCCACCTGCAGCTGGAGCGGAAGCCGCAGAAGAAGGAGGACCTGATGCTGGCGAATCACGTGCTGAAGCTGGCCGCCGACCTGATCAAGGAGCTGGAGGCGCCGTACAAGATTTCCGGCTTCAGCGCCAACCCCTACCTCTACAACATCACCAAGGTGGTGGTGCTGAGCGCCTTCTCCGCCCTCCTCACCGAGATGCTCGGCTTCAAGCTCAAGCTGGACAAGATTAATCTCATCAAGTAGTAGTGTGATTGCGCATTTATAAAACAATATGAGGTTTTGCTGACGTCGTCGTTGAATCTTTCTTTCTCTCTCTCTTCCTTCGACTTTTATTATCTATTTTCTACTCAAATGTGATATTAGTTCTCCTCCTCCTCCTCCTCCTCCGTCTCCTCCTATTTCCTCTCACAACTTGCACAATTTGATGTCCTTCACGCCCACAAAGTCCTTTTATCCCACCACTTCTTCCTCTTTCTCCTATTGATGATCACACTTTTACCACTGCTGAAGACATCTAGCCAGCCAGCTACCTTTCATTGTGATAGTAACTACTTTCTCTCCACTGTTCTCAGTCAACCTCTGATGATGATGATGAAGATGAAGAGAGGAGGGTGATGAACTCCTTTGGTGGTGGTGATGATCATCGTATCCCTCTTCCTATTTCCTTGTGTATCCCTTCTTCCTAATCTCACCTCTATTTTCCGTATCCTCCCACCACTACGTTTCGTCGTCGTCGTTGATGAATAAGATGATCTACTTTCCTATTCTAGTTGCCACTGCTCCTCCTCTTAATACAGGTATTTTTCTTCTCTTGTTATCTATCACCTGCTGCTACAAACAAACAAACCCACAATGTGCATATTTATTTTTATTTATGTTACAAAGCTGATGATGTGAAGATGAGTTACAAAATAAAAATCGTTGTCATTTAAAAAAACTTATTCGTTCTCACTTTTGAATTCGCCGCCTACCGTCGTCTACGGAGGGCGCAGCTACGCTGGTTTGTTTGTTGACAAGCTGTTCAGAAAAAAACTTTTATGTTGCACAGATTTTTTTCTCGTCTGATGTGATCATCAAGTGATAGGCCTTTTCGTCGTCCTCCCAAAGACGAATTCACGTACAGATTGATTACCATCATCATCTCCGGCCGGAAGAGATGGAGCAGAAGAAGATCGACCTGAAGAAGTACGAGTACTCGGTGGTGCTCGACAGTCATACGCCGATCTCGGAGGAGGCGTTCGCGGCGGCGGTGCCCTCGCCGGCGAAGACCTACCCCTTCCCGCTGGATGTCTTCCAGAAGCAGGCCATCATGACGATTGAACGCGGGGAGAATGTCTTCGTGGCGGCGCACACCTCGGCGGGAAAGACCGTGGTGGCGGAGTACGCCATAGCGACGGCTTTCTCCCGAAACACCCGCGTCATTTACACGTCACCGATCAAGGCGCTCTCCAATCAAAAGTTTCGCGATCTGAAGGAGGAGTTTAAAGATGTGGGCATCATAACCGGTAAGTTTTACTTTGCTTTGCTTTTTGCCTGTTTCTAAATTTCTAAGCACGTCTTTCTTTCTGTAGGCGACATTCAGCTGAACCCCGAAGCGCCCTGTCTGATCATGACCACCGAGATTCTCCTGCAGATGCTGTACGCCAACTCGGAGACGATCAACGACCTGGAGTTTGTCATCTTCGACGAATGTCACTACGTAAACGACAGCAAGCGCGGCCACGTCTGGGAGGAGGTCTTCATTCTGCTGCCCGGCTTCGTCAAACTGGTCCTCCTCAGCGCCACCGTTCCAAATGTGATCCAGTTCTCCGACTGGCTGGGGCGGACTCGCCAGCGAAAGACCTACGTGGTCAGTACCACAAAACGGCCCGTTCCGCTGAAGCACTACTTCTACCTGGGCCGCGACGGGAAGACGCAATCGCAGCAGGTGCTCATCCTCGAGGGCGAGGGCCAGCTGCTGAAGGCGAACTACGACGAGGCGGCGGAGGTGATGAAGGAGCGGAAGGCGAAGTTTGGCTTCATCCGCGTGACGCCGGCCGCCGAGCGCAACGTCTACCTCAATCTGATTCGCCACCTGCAGAAGACGGACAAGCTGCCGGTGATCTGCTTCACGCTCTCTCGGCGCAAGTGCGACCAGAACCTGGACATCCTCCTCGGCATCAAGGAGGAGAACCTCTACCTGACGAGCAAGAGCGAGTCCTTCTACATTCGCCGCTTCGTCCGCCGCCACCTGAAGCACCTCGCCGCCGCCGACCTGAAGCTGGAGCAGGTGATGAAGGTGTCGGCGATGCTGGAGCGCGGCTTTGGCGTCCACCACTCCGGCGTGCTCCCACTGCTGAAAGAGCTGACGGAGATTCTCTTCAGCTCGGGCCTGGTGAAGGTCCTCTTCGCCACGGAGACCTTCGCCATGGGCGTCAATATGCCGGCGAGGACGGTAGTGTTTGACTCGCTGAACAAGCACGACGGCACCTGTCGCCGCAGCCTGAAGCCCTCCGAGTACATTCAGATGGCAGGGAGGGCCGGGCGGCG